CTGCGACTTGCTCTCCCTTTAAACTCTCCTGATCGACGCTCAGTGCCTATTCGGTGTGAACTCGTCCACAGCCGAAAAAGGGGCCCGTATTTTCAATGCCCATGGCACTTCTGTTCATTTCTAAAGGCAATAGGCGAACCTGAGCGGTCGCTAGAAGTTGCTTCATACTCGACATGAACCCATCGTTGCTGTGCGCTCAAAGGAAGCGATCACGACAAAGTGGGAGCGAGGAAGTGTATGTGTCACACAAAGCAGTAGCTCGGATGCCAATAAAGCAAGATGGGCGCTTTCACAACCAAAACTGCGTTTATTGCTGAGCAGTACTTGAAAAGCGCTCCGCCTCTAAAAGCGTTCCACCCACTTCAATAGCAGGTGATTTGGACGAGCTGTGGCCAGCAGCTGGCACAACTGGAGCAAATCGAGTGGAGGATGATTTGGCATGGTGCCACAAAACGCGTTGCGCAAAACTCGCCCATAATTTCGCTGTCTGAGCAGGGTCAACCCTACGTTGTTACTAGTAACAACGGGGGGGTCGTACCTGGTTGAGTTTATAGGAGGGGGGGTCGTATCCGCTTCAGTCGCGTGAAATTACATGTGAGTTTGTGGTGAAAGTGGAGTTTTCACGAGTAGTAGGCTGGTGAGTTGGGAGCGCATGGGAGAAAATTCGCCGTTTCAGCGTGCGTATATACCTCCCCTAGAAAATGAGGTTGTGGGAAGATAGGTAAAATTGGGTAAAAGTAGGGGTGAAATGGTGGAAATAGAGGAAATTATAGGAAATTTTCGAGAATTTTTACCGTTTCGGAGTAGCTATATACCCCCCCCCCCGCCCTTGCTGCGCTCGACGGCAATTTTGGAGGGGAAAAGTGGGCGGAGTTTGTGGGTTGAGTGGGTGGTACCAGAATTAAATACTATAGAGAGGATGATGGTGGTCGAGGTGTCGAAAAGGGGGTCGTATCCAAATCCACCTTGGGGGAGGGGGGTCGTAAAAATTTTTGAAAAAGTAACAACGATAGGACCGACCCTGTGGCTGAGTTGTTGCCCGTCCATGAGAGAAAATCAACGGCAAAAAAAGATTCCCGTTTTCCGTTTATGACGGATTTCTCTGCTTTTTTGTCGCCAGCGTACCATTGAGCACTACTTCGTCCCCTCTAAACCCCTTCAGAAACTAACCGCTGCCCTCCTACAGAGAACACTCTTTCTTTTAGGTTTACTACGCGAAGAAGTTTAGCGATTGCAATCCACACAAAGGATACATTATTATGGAATGTGTTGAGAACATAAAAGGAGTCACTATTTTCGAGACCGTTTCTTTGCAAGAAATCAGGCAGGTGAGATGCATGACCGAATCCTTTATGCTCGAGGGACACGAAGCCGTTCATTCCTTTCGTTCAGAGCTTTCGTGAAGAAGTCTGACCATCGGGCCGGCGGTCGTCCAGGTGTTCGTTTGACGTCCCGAGGGATCCAGTCGGTAACCGCTCTGGTCCAACGGTCATCGCAAAATCGCATGACGTGTCCGGCCCACCTTATCTTCGATTCCTTGGCGAAAACGGCAGCGTCCCTGATCTTCGATCGTCGGCTGTAGTTTCGATCTCCGGATTCCCCTCTGCACTTGCGTGTATCGGGTTACTCCTAGCATCGTCCTCTCGACAGCGCGTTGGATAACGCTGACCGCATTCTCGTCCTGCCTGCGCAGAGTCCAAGTCTCTGAGGCGTAGGTCAAGGCAGGGAAGCAGCAGAATCGGAAATATTTTTACGGATGTTCTTCGT